CAGACAATGCTTAGAAGTTAACAGTGTAGCGGGACCAGCGGTTAGCGTAATGGCTATGTTGCTGGACTCCCACGTAGTTGACCGCGGTTCGTGTCCCGGACCCGGTGGCTTAAACTCATGCTGGGCACGTGTGCATGCATGCCCAAGATCCCGAGAGGAGAATGGAGGAGAAGGGATTGCGGCGTGGCCATCCCCCCTGGGGGGTGATTTCTCGCTTTCTCTCTATCTCTCTCTGTCTGGCGAGCGCCGCACTCTACAGCAAAAAAACTCTAAAAAAAAGAAGAAGTTAACAGTGTAGCTGCACGGTTTCCAGCTGTATCTTTCTTTTCTGTTTATATCTTCAAGAAGGAAGCACAGCAGAAGAGGATTTCCAGGATGAAACAGAACTGCCACTCTAAGGCGGTGAAGTCAGCCCACTAGCCAGTGTCAGCCAGTGGTTAGCCCAGAAGAGTAAAGTGGGATTGAGACATTGAGAGAATAGAACGGAGTGCCAGCCTGCCCCTTCCCGTTAGCTGCTATTCACTGCACTTCAAGAGAAGTTAACAGCGACTCTGGCTCCAAGATGTTGGAGAAAAGCAATCATTACTACCTTCTTACAGGCAATGACTGGACAATGGGAATAATGAAAGGAAGGGCAAGAATTGGATTTACCATGGACCCAACAAAACTTTTTTTTTTTTTTTGGAGAGATTTTCGCTATAGGGCGCCTGCGCTAGCCAGACAGAGAGAGACATAGAGACAGAAAGCGAGAAATCACCCCCCAGGGGGGATGGTCACGCCGCAATCCCTTCTCCTCCATTCTCCTCTCGGGATCTTGGGCTTGCATGCACATGCGCATGGTGTGAGTTTTAAGCCACCGGTCCGGGACGCAAGCCGCGGTCGACTATGTGGGAGTCCAGCGACATAGCCATTACGCTAACTGCTGGTTCCCTAACCCAACAAAACTTAAACTTCACTAACTTGGGCCCTTTCAGGTCCTGGAAGAGGTCTTAACAATTTTGTATTCATGCTTTTGGTTTTATCTTTCTTCCATTTGTTTTTCATTGCCAGAGGATGTGTGTACCCACTAGAGAGAGAGAGAGAGAAAGCACCTCCTAACGGGTCATGGTCACGCTGAAATCCTTTTTCCTCCATTTCTCCATTCCATTGAGATTTTGAGTATGTATGTACAAGTGCCTGGCATAAAACATGAATTGAAAAACTCAAGCCATCAGGCCAGGATTCAAACTAGGGTCTACCATGTAGGATCCAGCTCCCTACATACAATGCCTAGGCTATGCTAAGGGGCAGGCCCTGTATTTTTCTTTTTTTTAATGGCCCATCATCCATCACCTCCCCTAAACTAGATAAACTTAGGCTTTACAGATTCTAAGAATGGGATATGCTAAATAGTCTATAAATGCCTGAAAAGTGTCAGTGACCTGCTTTGTAAACTGTTACAAGTCCAAATGACCACTGTTTTAGCCTCCTTTCCAAATTATATGAGTAAGATTATGCATAACAGAAAAGAAGATACTGAAAACTTCACATACTAAGTAATAAGCCTTTCTTTCACACTAACATTTGGGGTTTCTTTCCTCTTAGTTTGTTATTGAATTTAGTTAAACATATTGAAATTATGTGTGTGTGTGTGTGTATATATATATATTTAAATTTTCCTATAGGTCATGTGTGCTTGATGGAGAGAGACAGATTGAAAAAGAGAAAGTGAAAAAGCATCCCGAGGAGGGATGATCACTCCACAACCCCATCACCATTCTCCTCTTGGGATCTTGAGCATGCACACACACACACACACCCAGCATCCAAGACTCAAACCACGGTCTGCTACATGGGAGTCCAGTGACGTAACTATTACACCATCTGCTGGTCCCAGCAAGTGGTTTTTCAATCCTTAGGGTCCTGGACTCTAACTGTGCAGTCAGCCATGTGGGCTCCAGGCACCTTTACCATGCCACCTGGCTTGTCCTGAAATTATATTTTTCAAAAAAATTACAATTCTAACCATTACAAGTAAGATATTGAAATAGAGCTATTTTGCATATTTGTTGTCTGTTTATGACTCAGAAGAAACATAATGTAGAGGTGAAAACTATGAAAATCTTGATTTCAATTCAGATGGAGATTCATCATAATTTGTGATGTATGTCCACTATGGTTTCACTTTAAAACCACAAATAAAGTTTTAACAATGAGCATTTTTCTTGTTGAGAGGTCTGCGGTCAGACTAAACATCTCTCTGAAACTGATTAGATCCTGAGGTTTTCAAATTCAATATTCGGCAAATAGAGAACGTTGCTTTAGCCATAAGAAATAATTAAGAATTTCAGAGCTAAGGCAACTCTCCTGAGCCTGTTTATTTTTCTGATAACGTGATCATCAGACATACTTCTGCTTGGACCTCAGCATGTTTGAGATTGAGGCAGAATAAATCATATACCATATTTTTAAAACCTAGGTGACATCACTTTAGGTGTTTACATCAGCAAGGCCTTCATGTGTCAGCGGTAAAGTTATGGAAATTTTGTATGCTATTAAATGCTTCTTTTTCCTAACTCCCAATTATACTGAATCCAGAAAAGTAGACACATGGTCATTATGTGAAGACAAAGGAACGTTGGATGGTTAATTACACAATAGCCAGAACTGTCCACTGTTAATTCATCCTTGTAGCAGATCGCTAGCGGGTGAATTAGCATATTTAGTTTGAAATCTTGTAAAACAGAAATGGGGTTATTTTAGCAGTTTCACAATTTGTGTAGTAACTTCACATTTATTGAAGATTTGACTCAAAATAACACAAGGCTGTGAAGAATGGGGAGCAGGATGTTCTGTAGAGGATTAACATGGTGTAGGTATCTCCACTGACAAGATGTATTTTGAAAACCACTTTTTCTGGGTAAATACAGTTATCACTAGAGTCCTAGAGACTACATTTGCTTTTTGAGCACCCAAGTCTTTTTCCATGATAAGTCTGAAATAGAATATGCAGAGGTCATTGAATTGTTTCTGTAGCATTTTCCTTGTGGGAAGGGACCTCCAGAGGTCACTTCATTTGTCCCGATCTTTAGGCAGGACTCTCCCTTATTCTGAATATAGCTGTATAGTGATCTGCATTAAGAAAGCTTTTAAAGATCCCTAGGGTTGATCAAAAAATAGCAAATATTGGCCTGATTCATAGAACAGCATTATATGTATGTCAAAATAGCCACCTTCATCAAGGAAGACATCAATCAGGGCTGTTAAGTGCTGGTAGTAGCTTCAAAAGGAAACGCTTTATTTTCTCAGAGAAAAGGATGCTAGATTAAGGAAATGACCAAGCGTGTGGCTATTTTTTTGTTAGGTGTATATTTGAATGCTTATCAAAAAGGAAACATTGTCATGTCAAAGACCACTGCAGGGGGAGCCCAGAGGCTGCTGTAAAGGAGCAGATCTCAAGTCCTTTAACAAGTCCTTTGAATAGCTGTGCGGCTCAGAGGGAGGGCTGTTGTTTCAAACAGGATCCTATTAGTACCAAGTTATTGAAGGACAGACAGTGAAACTTAAGAATAATATTGACAGACCTGCCCTTTAAGTGCTATCTTTTCCCTCTAAGCAGCTGAATTTGTTAGAGCTGAGAATTTTATTCCTTCAACTTCATTAAACTGACTGCAAAAGGACAAAAATTTCAGTGTAATTTCAATTTGCTAAGATAACTAATTGCTTTGCTGTCTTACAGGACAAGTAATCCTCCACAATTGTTTAGACTTCTGCATTATTAGATTTGAAGCACAACTCTGGAGTCTAGAAATTAGCTAAAAGGAAAACTGAGGGTCTTATCTGGATTATTTGGGCCTAAAAGCCTTTCTGTTGAACTATTCAGAGAATTTAAAGATATAACTATCAATTGATAAAAAATGACCCTCCTTGACAATTTTCTCAGGTGTTCACTTGATTTTGTGTTTTTATATTGCATTTTTTCATATTTTATAAGAATGTACAAAAGCCTGACCAACTGTAGGTGCCTGAGTATAAGAAACGGGTTAAGAAATGGTTGAGTGGAAACAGATTAGAGAATAAAGTTTTGTGCGTGGTTTTTTTCCCCCTCCTACATTCTTGCCAACTTTCAAATTTTGTTTTTGTACCTCTTCCAAAGAATTCACTTGAAAACATTCACTTTTACAAACAGAAAGTCACCCTCTATGCTCTCTCTCAGTCAGGTGCTCAGTCTGGGTTATACAAAGTGGAAAATTCTAACTTCTGGCCTCTCTCAGCCTCCTTTGTAATTCTTGACTTTGGAAATGGAATTCAGCCACTGAGAGCTTTTTGATGTGCAGTTGCCTTTCTTGGAGAACACTAGCCCACAAAGTCTTCAGATAGCCTTTCCTCTCAGGACAAGACACAAAAGAAAAAGGAGATCTCCTGAAATGTCTTACTGGCTTTAGGACATTCCCACAGTGGGCATCTAACCCTTGAGTTGATGTGTTGTCTGTATACCCACCATAAAACTAGGGCACTTAGTTAGTTAGCTATCTGGCAAAGTAGTTTTCTCCCTTAAACTGCTCAGATAATTGTCCCTAACCTGCCTTGTACATATACAACCTGTATGAAGCATTATTTAAAAAGTTATCTGTGTAAACAAATTCCCATAGCAGAACCAGGAAATTCCAAATAGAGAACACTGAATCAACTTTAAAGAAAGAATCAAGATGAAAGCGTGTAAGAAAAAGCAAAGTAGCAGATTCTATCAATTTTATTACAAAAAAAGTTCAAATCTTTTACATGCTTTGACATTCAATGTCATATGGAAGCTTATTACAAGCAACCTTTAAAAATATACATACTGTATATATTTACATTCAAGTTTGAATAACTGAGGTCAAGGTGTAGTTCAGGTTCAAATCTTTACCCACCCTGTGGATTTGTTCAGCTACTAACTAAACAGAGATTGTATCTTCACTCAGGCACATGGAGAGGTAGAAACTGCTTTTTTAAAGAAAAAAAAAAAAAGCAAAGCTGGAGTGCAAATGTAAAGGTCGTCATTGAAGTAGCTTAGCTACATAAATGAGACCCCAACTAGCTTTGGTCATCTCAAGAAGCTGAATACATGTAAACTTGCTCTTTAGTTAACATCAGAAACACTAGAGGCAGGTACTCTGCTGAGCACACCAGAGAGCTGGCAGATCCTGGCAACAAATGGCCTGCCACCCCGCACCCAAGTATTGCATATTTCTAAGTTAGGCAACATGGCAGCAGAGCTGGGCTGGCAGTTGGACACTTCTCCCCTGATGGACACAAGTAATATGCAAACAAGAAGCTTAGGAGATATCAAATTAATATCTATGCACACAGCCTGGAACTCAAAAGCCAACTATAACACTTCCTTTCTCAAATGAAATCCCTGTTAATTTCTGCCAGCGCCCACCTCCAATTCCAAAGAGAGAGAGCAGCTTGTAAATCTAGATTGTGGGGGTGAGGGGAGAACGGCGGGGTGGTGGTGGTGTCTGTGACTTCTGCAGGCCAAGGTTCCTCAGCCTAGAGACTGGACCTCAGGAAGGCTCTTGGGACTGAGAAGGGCTCCTCAGGTTCTTGCCAGACTTGATGGGGCTGGTTCCTGAGAGGGGAAGCTGGAGGGAGGCCATAGTATTGCCTGTGGCCAGAAGCCCTTCTCGTTCCCTCTTTTTCTGTTTCATCCTGCGGTTCTGGAACCAGATTTTGACTTGGGTGTCATTCAGCTGCAAGCAGTTGGCTATCTCGATGCGTCGAGCTCGAGTCAAGTACTTATTGAAATGAAACTCTTTCTCGAGTTCTGTCAGTTGCTTGGTGCTGAAATTCGTGCGGATCGCGCTGGAGGGGCTAGCGGACCCATACTCGGTCAATTTGCCTGCAACATAAAGACAGGGCATTAAGGGGTGAGAGGATGCGGACACACAACACTACCCAGCTGTGAGGCTGAAGTTAAAGCCAACGCCCCAGAGCAGCCCTCCTGAGTCCATGAAGACAGCTGTGCCTGGCTCCACCGAGAGTCCCTTGCTGTAATTTTCTTAGGTGTCTGGCACATTTTTCAAGCCTGGCCCTAGGGCTCACTCAACGGACTTCGGTTTAATGAGACGCATTTCCTCTTTTTTAAAACCCAAACCTCTGTCCGGCCACGCGCTTCCAGCGCAATTTCGCAGAGGAGGAGACTCTGTAATGAACCCCAGTGCCTGCATCAGAAGCCAAGGACTTACTTTTCTTAGGGGCATTCCTCTTCACTTTCATCCACTCAAATGTGCTGAAGGCGGCGGGGAGGCCGGAGGCAGGGGAGACGGATTTAGGGTAGGCTCCAGGGGCTGGGGACGTGGTCTGAAAGGTCGCGGGGTGGCCGTCTGCAGGCTCTTTGAGACACGCCGGGAAAGGGCCAGGCTCCCCGAAGGCGGCGAAATCCACCTGGCCGCTAAGGAGGAGGGAGCCACCGCCCGAGAAGAC